AGGGGAAGTCCCCCAACACCCCCTCGGTTCCATGGCCGGACCACTGGGCTTTCAAGAATCCCAAAGGGGTGGCGTACTGCAGAGATCATCACCTCCACAAGTGTTCGGGATCTTGCGGCCGATCCCACAACTGCCCGGTCAGGAAGGATGGGTGGGTGTGCGATGCCCCCCCTTCGAAGCATGTGCCACAGGCATGCCCTCACCTTCCCAAGTGACAGGAGGCCACTCAGGGTGCCAATAGGCCCCGTGGCTTCCCGGTCTCAGTTGGGACCACAGGCCACCAGTGCACAGGGGGGTGAGCCAACCCCACCAGAGCCACAGCGGAAGGCAGACAGAGCGGGGGAGGCCAGGACGGCCTCAGATTGGAGGGGACTTCTCCAGGGTGCCACCGGCCCCGGAAGCCCCTCGCACCGAGGAAGAGGAGCGGTCCCAGCCAGGGCACTCCAGAAGGGCGGAAGCATCCCTTTCCCCCCCGCACACCGAGGCAGTGGGAAGACCCCCCAGAGAGACCCAGAGGTGAGGATCCGCCCGGCAAGGGGCGTTCCAAGGGCGGGAAGAACCGCCAGGGCAAGCAGCAAGCCCAGGGACAGATGACGGGAGGGTTAGACAAAGGACACACGGAATCCCTAGGGGGGGCAAGCCCCACCTTCCCATGGATGCAGGACGTCCCGGAAAGACTGAGGCTCAGACTGAGGTGGACGCCACGGCCGGTGCCGGAGTCGTCAAAGCCGTCCCTCATCCTGCTGTACGCTGGGAAGGATGATGCGGGGGCCCTGGATGCTTACCTCCATGCCTACAACCCGGCCTTCTCGGAGTACATTTGGGCGGTGGACATCAGGCGGAAGGGTGGAGACCTTGGACAGGACATGCTGGGCGAGGAGCCGTACTCTACGATGTGCTCCATGGCCATGGCGGGCAAGGTCGCCTTGGTGGGGGGCGGCCCCAACTGCAGGACGTGGAGCATCCTCAGATGGTTCCCCAAACCGGGGCCCGCCGCCGGTGAGGGGCAGAGCAGAGCAGACCCTGTGGGGCTTAGAGGACCTGGAGCCCCGGGTTATGGAGGACACGGACAATGACAGCGTGCTCATGCTCCGTCAGATGTACCTGACCTCGCTGGCCTACAAGGGGCTAGGTCAGCTAACGGTCCCGCAGGTGGGCTCCTCCTTCTTGGAGCACCCGATGGACCCAATGGAGTGCAGCAAGAGCCCGAGCGCAGCGAGGTGCTCATCGATCTGGGTCACACGGGCCTACATTCAATGGGCGAGCGCACTCCACCACTCCCTCATCAAGTTTGACGAGTGCCGCCTGGGCCAGGTGGTTGTGAAGTCCACGACATTGTCAACGGACCTTCCCCTTCACCATTGGCATGATCTGCGTTGCAACCACGGGGCTCACCCCAGGGGGGAAAAGCTCAACTCCAGTGACCTCAGCCGGTACCCGGAGCAGATGATGCAGGGTCTCGCAGCGGCCATCCTTTGCCGAGCGGGACCCGTCCTGGAGGCGCTGAGGCCGGGGGGCACGGCGCCCCCCCAACGACCCCCCCGAGGCGGCAGAGGGAACCTTCTCCCAGCACGCCGGGGGACAACAAGCGCCAGTCCCGGAGGCTGAAGGCTGGCCAACAAGCGTTGGCAGGACTAACCTTGGGTTCACTTCCGGTCTCGGCCTCGGACAATCCGGAGGTCCGGACACCGACACAGAGGACTGGCGAGACGGTCGAACTGGGGGGGGGAACTCTTTCCCCTGAGCCATGGGCACACCATGGCATGGAGATCTCGGATCGGCCCACCATCCTGCCAATCACGCACGACCCCAATCTCTCCGACAAGGTCATGTACCTCCAGATGGCCTTCAAGCAGCGCCCCCTAAGGGACGGAGGAGGAAAGCCCTCATTGGGACGGTTGGCCCCATGGACCCGGCCACTGTCCAAAGCAGCAGCGATGGGGGCCAAGATCTGTGTCCTCACTTCGCCATGAAGGAACAAGCTCCAGGAGTCGCTCTCGTTGGGGGATGGGTCACATCCCTTCCCGGAGGACCTGCTGGAGGATATCAGAGAGATTCTGGCGCCGTCAGCTGGTCGGCCTGCCCCCTTCTTCCTGGACATCTTGCACAGCGTGGCGCTGAACATTCAGGACCCCGACCACCAGTTTTTCCGGGATCTGGAGCACGGGGTCCCACTGGGGGTCACGGACCCACCCCTGACCTCGCCGGGCATCTGGCCACTCAAGAAGGAGCTGAAAGGGGAGGAGCCGGAGTTCCAGGAACTCCCTCACCCAACGGGCAGGGGTAACTACCCCTCGGCGGATCACTTCAGCGAGCTCATCCGGGGCACATTTCTGGAGGAGGTCCCCATGGGCATGGTGGAGGGCCCCTTCAGTAAGGTGGAGGCCGCATCGCGCTGTGGCTGCGAAATCGAGGACCTTTGTCCCGGCCCCCTAGCAGGCATCGACGAGGGGGACAAGATCCGCACGATCTACGATGGCTCGGTGGGAGGGGCCAATGACACTCAGGAACCAGACGGTGGAAAGGACGACGGCTCCGACGGTGCTGGATGGGGTCCAAGCTCTTCATTGGCTACATGCGGCAGCTGCGGAGGGACCCCCCTCTCAGGGTGCCCCTGGCCCCGAGAGGGGGGTCGTCAAACCTCCACCTGGGGGCTGGCTATGGCCGGAGCCGGGCACCAGGTGGGTGCTGCTCAAGGCGGACGTCACCAAGGCCCACCGGAGAGTGAAGGTCCTCAGGAAGGACTGGCGGTTCCAGGTGGCTTTACTGGGGGAAGAATGGTGGGTGAACAAGGCATGGCCAGTGCCCAATCCTACTGGGGACGCCTGGCAGCCCTTCTACTCAGGGTCCTCCACGCACTTTTCCCTCAAGTGGATTGGAACTTCGTCTTTGTCGATGACTTCCTGTGGCTGCTTCGAAGCGAGGGGGCAGTAAACTTGGCGGTGGCGCTGCTGGCAACACTCCTGGCCTTGGGCACCCCGCTTAGCTGGAAGAAGACGCATTTGGCGGAGGTTAACACGTGGCTGGGTTTCGTGGTCCACCCGAACATCCCGCAGGTTCTCATGGCAGCCAACAAACACATCCTGGTTATGGAGGTTTTGCAGACCATGGTGGAAGGGCAGGCGATGCACTCAAAGGACATCAAGAAGGCCCTGGGTCGCATCCAATGGGCGACGGCTGCATGTCTGCTGGCGAAGTCGATGCTCCAGCCACTTTGGGCCTGGACCACGGTGGGGAAACCCCCCAAGGTGGTCAGGATGCTGGCGTTCATGCTGCGGTTCCTCTTCAACACGCCTTTCGTCCAGTACTCCCCTTACTTGCCGAAGTCCTCCTGGTGGGGTTGCAGCGATGCTAGTGCCTCGGACGAAGGACTGGCATTTGTGGGAGGTTGGTGCTCCAACAAAGTGGAGCCGGAAAAGAAGGAGGTGTACTGGTTCCACGAGCAGATCCACGTGGAGGAGTACCCTTGGGCTTTCAAGAATGGGGATCCCAAGCGGAGGATTGCGGCTCTGGAGATGCTGGGCACGCTCTTCCTCTGTAACATGATCCTCACGCACCAAGGCCCTCTGTCCTCCCGGGTCCGACTCCCGGTGGGCAGTGACAATCAGGGCAACGTCATGGCGATGCTCAACCTTGGATCCAAGAAGCCCTACACGGCGGCGATCCTGATGGAGCTGGTCTTCCTGCTCCACACCCATGGCTGCTCGCTGGCGGCCAACCACGTGCCCCGTGAATTCAATCAATGGGCTGATGAGCTGACGCACCCAGATTTCTCTGGGTTCGACCCTTTGCAAAGGGTCCCCAAGCAGGAACTCTGCGAGGAGTTCGTTTTTCTCCCGCGTCTCCTGAATGGAGATGCATTTGACCTTAGCGTGGGCCCACCCATGCTCCCGTGACCGGAGCCGGTGGGCGACTCACTTCCCCTGGTGGCAGACCCCCCTGTGGCCTGGGTGCCACGGGCCCCGGCTCAGGGGCGGGCGCTATCAGTCTGCACACCCGTTCTTCAGTTTTTGAGATTGTGAGTTGGGTGGCCCATGGGGCCCACCCAGCCTTTGTCATCTGGCAGGGGAAGATGAGTCCCTGGCACCAACACACTGCTCGGATAAAAGAGTTATCGCGTGCTTGTGTGTGGTGCCGTTTGGTTAGCTTGCATACACTTGTCAATCCTGGCCAAACCCAATAACAGTCAAGTTCTTCTAACACTTAAGTGCTTTTCCACTGGATTGAGGATTCAATATTGAGGAGTGCACAAACAACCACGTTCCTTGAGAATCTATCACCTCGAACGTATTTTTGCCACTGGATTGAAGATTCGAGATTGACATATTTCACGGAAAACTTTTCCGAGAATCTTATTGAACACCGAGAGCATTGGGACAACCCTGGATTTTTAAATATTGTACAACAAATATTGGATTCAAGATTCAAGATTCCCAGAAATCATTTTCTCAGATTCTTGAATCTTGAATCTTGAATCCACAAATGTTTAAACAGTTTTTTTTAAAAAATATGGGATTCAAGATTCAAGATTATAGAAAATATGTTCTCAGATTCTTGTATATTGAATCCCATAATTTTTAAAAGTTTTTAAGAACATATGAGTTGCTCTTGTACTCTTGGATGCATTCAAACTCTTTCAAATTGCAGATGCTGATGTCATTGCTTTTATCACATCTGTATGCATGCATGCGTGTCATATATACGTATGACCCTCCCCCCCCCCCCAATTTTGACACAAATCCGAGAAGCAAAAAAAGGCACAACACACTGGAAAATACAGGTCAAACGCACCAAGGGGGGATGCACATATATATATATATAGGTGTATATACACATGTGTCTCTCTTCTTTTTTCATACACAACAATGTACGTCGGTGTATATGTATATATATATAGAGAGAGAGAGAGAGACAAACACACACACACACATCCATATATATATATATATCTATATATGTACACATGCCTAAACCACCATGCCATGCATCACCGCCCCAAGGCACGTGCAACCCGGGCAGCCGGCATCTGTGGCTCCGCCTTGAGGAGGCGCCGCCGAGCCTGCGGCGCCTGGGCGAGGCCCTGGCGGCGCTGCCGGGGGCGCTGGAGGCGAAGAGCTCCGCGGCGCCAGGTGGGCGGCCGGGGGGCGGCGGGGGGGGGAGTGGGGGGAAGGGGGGGAAGGGGGGGGGGATAGGTGTCCTCCGGTTATGTAATTCTGGGTATGGGTCAAAACTAAACCAGACCGGTTTTTGTTCATGTTGCCATTTACCAGGGCAACCCATTTTGGGTACTATTTTTTGACCCACAGCCATATAATGAGCCAAAGGGGGGCGGGTGGTAGGGCGTTTTTTCTTCTTTTTTTCTTTCTGTGCTCAGATATCGACTCAGCGATTTTCTGGTGTCCTTAGGGCATAGATAGATGGGTTCCACTGCGTTTTTGAAACCATGTATCTTCCGAAACTGATCAAACATGGTGGTTTGGACGGTTGTTTTGCCATCCATTTACCATTTACTAGAGGGGGATAGGTTGGACAGAACGAGAAGGCCCCAAAACATGGCTTTCACAACTGTGAAGGTTATGTGACGTTATGTGTGTGTGTGTGTGCGAAGAGGGAAATCGTGTCTTCCATTCCATCAGCGAGTGTGGCCAGGATGGGGTGAAGCCTAGGCCAGAGAATATCAGCAAAGAAAAGGATTTGGGGATTCGGTTCCAACCACTTTTGAGGTGATTCCCTATTTAATTTCGTGGCCATTTTTGTCAACTGGCTTTCCAAAAACACCACATGAAAACCGACGATTTTTGGGTAACGAGGAACTCACCAGGGGTTCCCTTTAAAGGAGCAAGGAGCATGGTCTTCCGCCTCGAAACGTCAGGTTCCATGTGGCAGGGAGGGTAGCAAGGGCAGCAACCCAACTATCATGGTTGTAAGTCTCCTAGGTAGGCGAACAGGAATTCGAACCGCTTTTTGGGTTTGTTTACTTTTTTCGGCCCATCTACTTAAGCAGGGAAGTCTATCCAGTAAACACGATTTCTAGCCACTTACCAAGGATTCTGCCCCTGTACTTGGTGGCTCTCAGTCATGCCCTTAGCTTTTTGTTTTTTGTTTTTAGGGTTTAGTTAGCTTTCCCTTTAACCCACTAGAAGTTTTAAATTTTCGCAGGGGATCTGAAAACGGACACCCCAGAGCCGGGCCGTGTCCGGTATTTGGTCTGAAGTGAGAACCACTTCAGGACCTTTAGCTAGGTCCCCCAGCTAGGTAGATAGACTACAGAAAAAAGAAACGGTACCCTTATTCCAACCTCTCAAATCTGGAGGACCTAGTTAGCCAGATTCCAGGCCTGCGCATGGTGCCGGCCCTTATGGCGGCGGTTTATGGCCCTGGCGCCCACTACGTGCCCCACAAGGCAGCGCTCCAGCACCGAGACCGGGGGCGGAGCGGAGCGGGGCGGAGGGCTGGGGGGGGGGGGGCTGGTCAAACTAGGGGGCGGACCAAAAAATTGGTTTCTTGGCTCTTGGAGCAAGATGGTGCCCAATTTAACAGACGGGTTCCACGAAATACGGGTCTGTAGCAACCTTTTTGGGATTGTTTAAAGGGAAACCAAAGGGACACCACCATTTTTTGGGGGGCCCAATTTAGAAGACACACCCATATGCGTGTGTGTCAAATATTAGGGGACCAGATGGTTGGAATCCTTTTCCCTTCTGATTTCTCGGACAATTTTCGGCAATGGTTGACGTCCTTTCGGTGTCCAAGTGCAGAGGCTTTTCGCGCTTTCGCAGGCTGTTTAAACTTTGGACCAAAGAAAAGCTGATGTGCAGACCCCGGACGAATCAACTTTGCGGGTGAACTTGGGGATGGATGGGGGGCGGGGAGAGGAACCCTACGTTACTTGGCGATGGATCGGGGGCGGGGAGGGCTATTTTCCACCAGGACATGTACAGTGGCGGCAGCGCGGGCTTTGAGAACACCCGGCTGCTCACGATCCTGTGCTACCTGAATCCTGATTGGAAGCCCGGAGATGGAGGCGTGGGCTGTCCGATGTTGACCCCCGTATTAATCAACCCCAGTTTTTTTTTTGGGGGGGTGGATCAGGCCACTTTGGAGGGGCCCCCACCAACCTATTACTAGGCCCCGCCTCCCTATGAATACGCAGGGGTTGATTAAGACTGGGCGGCGCTCGGCATTGGAGTCGGCGCGTCGGCGAGATTCGTTGTTTCAGAGTCGCGACCTGGGCGGGCACGCCCCCACCAAACACGGCAAACATGCAAGTTCGCAGACCCTGTTTTCAAAAGGAATGTAGTTTTCAAAAGGAAAGCAGTCTTCCCAAAAGAGTTTGTGCAGTTCCAGTTTGTTGGCGGCGGATAAGTGTTCGGGGCATAGTTTGGTCGGGTTGAGGGAAGATGGCAAGCGATCAGCCCTGAGCCCATCGTGGGTTTGCACCACTCAAGTTGCCTGAGGTTTGGGAAGAAAGACTCGGATGCCCGGCAGCTCATCCCAGAAGAGTAAACGGAAGGAAGTACACGAGGGTCCGTATCTTTGGCATTTGGCTGTGGCTGAAAAGCCGGTACCCAAAATGGAACCCTGGCAAGTAGAAACATGGACCAAAACCTGCGTAACCCCTCCTGTTTAATTTTGAGCCACACCCATTTGTCAAATGGAAGACACCTCTTTGGACATGGGTCCCTATCTTCCCTCGAAGGGTGGTTTTGAACATCACCTTTTGGGCCAGCAGAAGAAGCGCGCTTCCTCGGTGTTGTTTCCAAGAAAAATGTAGGGAGTTCTGGTGCACCCACCACATAGTAGGTAGCCAGGTATTTGTACAGGCTTTACATGAGAGGGGTTCCCGTGGTTGCATACCATCCGAGCCAGTACTGGTGCAGCTACAACAGATTCCAATGTGCCGCAATCAATTTGCTTCGGCTAGGGGAACTGCGGGTCTTCAAAACTGCGGACAGCGGCAGCGCAGTGCCGGGCTCAGAAACTTCAGGGCACTGTTGTGGACACTGACAGGGGGAATTGAGCCTACAAGGCTTGCTGAGGAACCTCCTAAATCATCTATATAGCATGGTGAGTTGGCAAAAGCGGCAAAGCGATTGTGGCCCGCGAAATCAGCCCACCCCCACACACCAGGATTGCTAAGCATAGCTTAGGTACGAAACTCCATCAGTGCTTTCTTAATGTTGCCGATCTACCTTGGGACTTGCTCATGTAGATATCATCAAACTCATTGCTCAATATGCCCCGCAAGCAATACTATTTGTTCGCCAAGAGGACATGGCAACTGGGTGGTCCTGCTTACCAATAATATTGTCAGTCGCGCAAACGGGGAACGTGTCATCAGGGGCTGTCATGGTTGTCAGGAACTGGTTGGTGGTTTCCCTTTCACCCACCACTTGGGTGACTTTGACAGCAGCAGAATGGGTGGGGCCGGCTGAGGCTTCGAATCTTTGCTGAGCAGCGTGGTTTTTGGATGTAGGCTTCCACCTGACCAAAATGATGGTGAATTCCTTTTGTGGGTTGGCCCAACTAATCAGCAGATCGCAACTCGAGGCCTTGACCATCTGTTTTTTCCTTGTAGAGGTCGAGGTCGCGGCACAACTACCCACAAAGGGAATTCACCCTTTGTTTTGGGTTGCAATCTCCCATTTTTAGGGGAGTTTTGAGGGCTCAGGCCGTGAAGAACCAAAAGGAACACCGAATTCCAGTTTTTGGGGGTCCAAGGAACGCCATCATGAATTCCAGATCCCTCAAAATATGAAACAAACCCAATTGAGCATGGACTAGGGAATCAGTGAACGACCCTTATAAACCATCATCGGGGCATTCGACGTTTTCCCTCCAAACAGAAGCCTGTGGGTGGAATTTCGGGTGCTGGTTCCTGTTTTGTGGGGAATTGGATTGAAGGGAAGTAAAGGCATCCAACGATTGCGGTCGATTGCGGGCGAAGCCCTCCAGGACACACCCGAATAGGACAGAGGTCAATGGGAGATAGAACCCTTCAGCGGTTTTTGAAGAGTTGCTTTAGGCAGAGAATGACCGACCAACACCCAGACCCAACTTGTGGTTTCCTAAAGGGATCCCTAGGTTCAGAACCTCCAAAGCACCAGGTGATTTCCTGCTGAGCTCTTCACGGGTCAACAGCGTCACTGCCCGTTTTGTCACCCTGGAGCATGCTTTCGTTTTGTTTGCTGGGGCCGCGCGGTGTTTTCAGGGTCACGCGATTTGTTTTCGCCCACAAACACCGCGACTCCACCTGAGTATCAAATAGTTCGAGGATATGCCGATTTTTTGCCTGATACTACATTCACTTGTCATCACCTTAAAATGTTTCAGCACCTCTTTGTGCTTTACCCACTTCTAGACACCCCACACCTTAGACCGCCTCCCCAGTTTTCCCCCCCGCCCCCCGCGCCATGGACACAGTCTATTTTGCAACCATAGCCTCAAAAACCCAATACCCCAAAAGAAGGAGGTTACAAAATCGACCCTTTAAGTGTCCACCACACCCCCCTTGTAGAGACCCGAAAACAACGATCCGCCTCCCCCCCACCTCCCCCCCCTCCGCCCCAACCCCAGCCGCAGGAGGGCGGCCCGGGGCGTCTGGTGCCGCAGCTGCTGCAGATCTCCGCAGACCACTCGGAGTCCACCACCTCCAGCGCCTGCGACCCCGAGACCTTCGCGCCTCCGAGCACTCGAGCGGTCCTGAAGTCCCGTGCTCACCGATTCCCTTAAAGGGCAACCACCGGTTGGGTGGTTTTGGGTGGGTCCTTTTTAGGGTGTCTTTTTTTAGGGAACCCCTCAAAGACTCAAAATTGTGGAATGAAGCCAGGGAATGTGCTGCTGGGACCCAGCTGCTTTAAGGGAATCCCTTTAAGGGACACAGGGATTCCCTTACAAGAAACCAGTTGGGTGGTTTATAGGGGTCAAATCGAGAAGAAACCACCAGTTGGGTGGCTTGTAAGGGTCATCTTCACAAGCCGTTGGGGAGCTGGGGGTATCCAACACCTGACATGTCAACATGGGAGTCGGACCGTCTTTTGGCTGCTGAAAGGGAAACTGAATAGAAACCAACCACGCCAAATTTGCGGGGATCACCATTTTGGGGGAGTATCAGACACCCTTTGGTACGTAGCTGGTGGTTGGAACGGAGCCCTGAGGGAGTGGGTATCCAAGTTCAGGAGTGCCAGGAGTTCTGTAAGGACATGGTAGCTTGGCTGTGTCTTTTTTGGGGAAGCCCCCCCCAACCTTGTGGTTTCCCCTTTAGAAACCCAAAAGGATCCATCTTCCCAGACCTCCATCAGTTCCTTCCTTTTTTTCCTGCCTGTTGGGGTTAGTGTGTTAGGGTGAATAGTATGGGATGTAGTGGTAAATAGTATGGGAGCATCGGTGTCAAACTGGTTGTCTCTAGTTTCCCTCAAGTTGGTCAATCTTTGTGTCTGGACTGTCAACGAGAGGATCCTGCCAAAATTGTGGCTTCCCCTTTGGATGGCAGTTTAGAAGCTCCTGCGGAACACTCCAGCAAAAAGGAAGAAACTAAAGCATTCTCTAGATACTACGTGAGTTTGTGGCTGCCTCAACTCCCCGAGAGAAAATATAAACCGGCCCCGGCAATGGCTTTCTGGTTGGTTTAGAGACCTTGGAGGCGCCAGTGGCCCCTAAGATATCCCCTGCCCCAAACCTCGGCCCACTTCTGGGGTACTCCAAGTATACGTTCAGATTCTGTTTCATGTGTCGTCCACCCCGAAATCCATAAAAGTGCTTTGGGACCCTGGGTGGGGGGGTGGGAGAGGGGGGGCTCCGGGAAGTTTGACAAGAGACGCATGATGGACAAGAGAGTAAGGCGCATAGCTGGCCTTTGGTATGTCCGGAAATGTAGACCTTTTGAAATCAACTGGCTTTCCTATTCAACAAAAACCTACAGACGGTTAGGTTCTTCAACCCAAGTTGCTTAGTAGCTGGTTAGTAGACATGGTTACAGCCCACTTAGGAAGCTTATCACAATGGCTTTGGTTGGTTATAGCCACGGTTACTAACCGCTACCAAGTACCCTGCCCCTTTCAGCACTTGTTGTTGGCAAGTATTGCGTAGTATGTATATATATATATACACGTATACACACAATCCACTTGAAACATATATAACTTGTTGTTTCCACATATGTATGTATGTATGGCCGGTGTGGTGTCCCCCGATTTTGGCATACCCGTAGGTTCAGTGTCGAGTACAAATATGATATATTCTTTGAATCTTCTGCATAGTGGGGTAATGTCTGTAGGTTTTCCCCTAATCGGGCGAGGGGATACAACATTTGGAACTGGATCGTCGGGAGCGTCATTTCACCCTACTTAGCAGCCCTCCTGTCATATGGCTGTGGCTCAACAAAAACGGTACCAACATCAAACCAGGTAAGTGGAAGCACATGGACCAAAACCTGCGGTTTGCCCCTGTGTAATTTTGAGCCACACCCATATGTGTTTATTTGAGTTCCCTTGTCCAATTTCGCCTTCCGCGATTTCCCCCAGGCCCAAAGTAGGCAAAGCGAGCGGCTTGTATTTGCGCGTTCGAAAGGGGCCAAGTCTTTTGTTTTGACGGCAGTTTTGGGGTTCCTCATTTTAGAATACAACCATTCTTACCCCTTTTTTGGGACCCAACAGTTTGCGAGCATGCTCATCGATCTGGAAAAAAAGGAAGCAACAACAGCGTCATTCCTCCAGGTAGTTTGGTATTCCTATTAAAACCATGACCAAATCGGCCAAACCAGCGGAGTTTTGACCACGGCTCATATGGCCATGGTTCAAAACCAATGGTACCATTTCTGGGATAGGTGCACCACCCATTTTAGTCCATTTGAGTGGGGATGGAGATGTTCACTGGGGGGCACGATTTGGGTTTTGACCCATGGCTCATATGCTTTCGGAGTTTGTCTCAGGTAGACATCGAGCCGCTGCTGGGGCGCGTGGTCATGTTTCGCTCCCGGGAGGCGTGGCACGGCATCCAGGACTCGCTGGGTTTCAGGTTCCGAAAAGCCATTTGGCTACCTAAAAAACCAGGGAAATGGAGTCACTGGTTACGAGTACTACTAGGTCCACCAGCTAGGTGCCCTTTTACCAACTTTTTGGGGGGAGGGTTCCCCTACTTAAATAGACTACAGAACAAAGGGTATCTGCAACAGCCAAACTCAGGACACGGATTCAGCATGGTTGATACATGCATGGCATGTGGCTCAGGGGGCCCCCTTTTGCTCACCCAGGCAGAGCCTAGGCTACATTCGCTAGGAGCCATAGAGGCCCTCGCACCGAGTGGAAAACAGTCGCCAGCCGACTTGACCGAGTGACTTCGTGAACATCACCATCATCGTGTGCATTCACTTTAGGAGCCCAATCGCTACCATTGCAGCACTCGCTGCATTGGTAGCGGAGCACAAGATCCGAGGACCACCGTGCTACCGCATCTTCTTTCTCTTCGGTGGCCTCAACCTTTTTCCTTGCCTTTGCCCTAGCCTTCAAGGAGCTGCTTAGCGAGCTCTACGGCTAGGTGCTGGTGACCTTGCGCAACCAGTTCAAGAGGACTGGGTACTGTTTTTCCCTTGCCACGGCACTTTGCCATCATGGCGGACAAGGATGGTCATACGCCTTCATGGGATGGATCAGCCAGATCCTGGAGACGCTACACTCGAGAAGTGTGCTGGTATGTGAGCGCGACACCTGCGTACAAGCGCCGGTACTGCACTCACAAGCTGATTGGCAAGCTCACCGGACCCGCAAGGCTGCTGGCAATGTCATGGAATCACCACATGTTCGACCAACCCAACAGCACGCGCATCTACCTTCAGCAGCTGGCCCAGAGTCCTTTGGTGAGGCAGTCTTTGCCAAATGCAGCAGCTATCTGCCAGCAGTACTTCAGCTTTCATCGCCGTCATCAAGAGCCAATGAACTCGTTCTTGGTCAGAGAAGCCTTGGGCTACAGCGAGTTCACCGAGGCGATTCTGAGGCTCCACGAGGAGAAGCTGGGCATCCGTCAGGAAGACAAGGACTTTGGCCTCCCCAACGAGGAGTACTACACCGAACATTGGGATGAAACCGGTGAAAGCTGGGCCGAGTGGCACGATGAGGCCACTGGACCCACCGTTGAAACTGTTGCTGAAGAGCCTGGTCAGGGCGAATCACCTCCTCAAGAACAAGCCAAAAGTGGTTCACCCGGGGGACGCTACCAACGAGTCCCTGAAGGCTCACCAGAATCCTCAAGCCATCGTCAATCCGTTGGCGTCCAACCAAGCGACCATGGAAAGCAAGCTTTGGGCGAATTGGGCCTGGCGGATAGCTTCGTCCTTGGTGTACTTCGAGGTTTCCGTCTTCTGCAAGCAGCCGGTCTCTTTCCTGAAGAAATGAGACCAGGGGCAGTTTGGAGTTCGACGTGATCACCCGTGCACTTCAGACCTTGTGGGATGAGCAGTTCACTGGTCGGCAGCATCAACCCGCCGCTCATCAAGGTTACTATCCGGAGGCCCACCACATGGAGGACTATCCTGATCCCGATGTCGCCTGGTCGTGGGACAACTCCTTTGCTGCTGAGAGTTGGGATGAAGACCCATCATGGAGCCCCTACATTGAGGACTATCATGCCGCGACCAACGTCACTGAGACGGGTGACCACACTGATGTTGCTCCTGATGATCCTGCGCTTCAAGATGCACAACATGCCGAACAAGTTGCTGAGTCCTTGGCAGCTGAGGCCTGGACAGAAGCCCAACGTGCCACAGCAGCTCTTCGTCGTGATCGGGGTTTCGGCCATGTAGTGGACCGCTCTTCCGGCAAGGGACATGGTTCTCCCGGACCTTGCTTCAACTGTGGTGGCGGTCACCTTGCCCGCGATTGTCCTGATCGCCGTCACCCCGGACCCAAGGGCTACTCCAAGGGCAAGTCCACACACGGCTACTACAACGACCTCGAGCCCTACAGCTGGTTCGGCAAGGGCAAGCGCAAAAAGGGTAAACTTCACTGGATGGAAGCCCAAGCTTGGCAAAAGGGCAAACCATCCAAAGGCAAGGGCGAACCTTCACCTCGAGCCCCTGTCAACGCCTACACCTCCGACATGTTCTTGGGTGGCCTGGAGTTGGACCACGCCTTGGAGGCCTATGCCAGCGTACCGCTCGGAGAAGTCCACCGGGACCACCGCGAAGGAGCCTGTGACTCCACCAACCAAGGGCACAGCCAGACCCTTGGATCCCGAACGGGCCATGATGATGGATCGCCGAGATCCCAGGGCGGATCCCAATCAGTGGCCATGCTTCGGAAATCACCTGGAGGATGTCGCCAAGAGCAACCCTCACGGTCAGTGGGTGCACTGCCAGGTCTGCAACGCCCGCATGTCCTACATTCCGAGGCACGGCTCCCACGGCCACCAAGACGGACATGCCCGAGATGGTCCGTCGCATGCTCAAGGAACTTCAGCCGTTGATGGAAGGTTCCAAACCGACGCAACCATATGCCTCGCGATGCAGAAAAAGATCGACGCAGAGGAGGTTCTTCGGACCCAGATCAAGAACCACAAGATGATCCGTCCTTCGCCGACCACTCGCCCTACCAAGACAAGGACCAAGGCATCAACGCGCTCCTCAAGCCCCGCTACATCCTGGGACGAGGTACATCCAACAAAGCCCACGGACAACACGGAGGAGATGATCAGTCACCTCACCCAGGAGGAGCGGAATCACATCCTCCACACCATCCAGAGTCGCATGATGGACGTCTCCCACTCCGAGGAGATGCAGTCCAAGATGAGCACCATGGTAAATCGGACGACGAGGACCAGTAGATCCTGGACCCACATCGACCAGTACCTCAAGGCCCTTGACATGCTCTATGGCAACCAAGCTGAAGTTCATGGGCGTGTCATTGACTTTGGCTATGGCATCTCAGGTGAGTCAGCTTTGCACTGATGATCAAGATGGTGTGTGGGAAATCCACACAGCTGGCTCAGCGAGGCCTGTGAACAACATGGTCTACAACCACGTCGCATCAACCTCGACGCCGGCTACGACATCTACAAGGCAGAAACTTGGGAGAAGCTCAAAGCACTTCAACGTCGACACCGTCCTAGGCGTCTTTGGTTCTCCCTACCCTGCACAAAATGGTGTCGATGGACCAGCGTCAACTACAACACTCCAGAGCGTTTCTAGAATCTCATCGCCGTCGAGAACGTCGGATGCTCTGGCAAGTGGTCAACTTCCTCAAGTTCACCTTGGAGGAGTACCCGCAGACCCTGATCTACTTCGAGTGGACTCATCCATGTCAAGGATGGTCACAAAACCCTATGGTCGACTTGAGCCAGTACTTCCACAAGCACGACATCCCATGGCTAGATTGCCGAGTTGATGGATGCAACTATGGCATGAAGGAGCAGTCCGGCGAGTTCTTCCTTCACAAGAAGTGGCTCATCAAGACCAACGACGAGAACTTCCACAAGGAGTTTCGCGCCAAGGTATGTCCTGGAGGTCACTCCCACACCTACATCCAAGGTCAAGAAACCAGCAAAACCGCCTACTACCCTTGGCGGATGGTTCAGTCCATTGCCCGCTGCTGGCGGAGACAACTCATCTCCGACCGCAATCTTCGTTTGCTCTTCCTCAAGCACCAGCATGGCAACCAGGACGATACGGAGTTGATGAGCGAACTCTATGGACTACCTGCCGAAGCTCAGCCTTCACCTCATGAACTACCAGAACCAGAGTCAGCACTTCCACCACAACCTCACGAACTACCAGCTCCCGCATCTTCGGATCCACCTCAAGTACCACCAGCGCTTGCTCCACAACCCCCGCAACCCGATGGCGGAGATGGTCCAACTGCTTAGGAGCTGCAACAGTGGAAGGCGAAGGTGGCCCGCTTTCATCGATCTACGAATCGCAATCTGGCACGAATTGTACGTGATGCCGGCCAACCACCATGGAAGGTCCAAGCCGTTCTGGACTTCAAGTGCCCGGCATGTGAATCACTACAAAAGGGCGGAACCAGCTCTGGCCAGATTCCACCTGCGTCGACTCACCAGCTCTACAAGGCTTGGGAAGCCGTTGGCATGGACACCTCTGAGTGGCACATCCCCGGCACCAAGCTGAAGGCCAAGTTCCTCCTGATGATCGACCTGGCCACCAAGCTCCGAGCCGTTGTCAAGATCAAGGTCTACGACAACATGACCCAACAAGCCGAAAACGTTGAAGACGTGATTGCAGCCTTCACAGTTGGTTGGCTCATGCACTACCCCAAGCCGAAGATCGTGGTAGCTGACTCTGCCAAAACCTTCACCTCCCAGAAGCTCGCTGAGCTCCTCAACAACCAGAACATTCAAGCCGTCTTCCCGCCGGAGAAGGAACCTTGGGCTCATGGGGTGGTTGAAGCTGCAATCCAAGATGTCAAGCGCACAGCAACTGCCATTCACCTACAAGCTCTGGACCAGGACGCATACACCACCTTGATCCTCGCATGCTCAGCCGTGAGCTCGACCGAGTACACGGCTGGATACTCTGCTCACCAATGGGCATTTGGCACAGAGTACTCCATCACGGATGAGGACATTCGCACGCACCAGCTCATCGATCCAACCTCCGACTACATCCTCACCCAACAAGCTTGCCAACACCTCCGTGCGGCAACCCTTGAAGACTTTCACACCCTTCGAGTTGGTGAAGGTCTGGCGCCATGTTCATCCTTCCGATCAACATCGAGGACCTCGAGGTGGTCACAAGAAATCCGGCAAGCCATACTGGATTGGGCTTGGACGTGTCGTCTTCCAAGAGCTGATTCACCATCAAGAAGAAGGCGACCACAGAAGGCACATCCTATGGGTCTTGATCGGGAACAGACTCCCTACGCTGCTCAGTGCACTCGGTGAGACCTGTCACCGTCACCGAGCAACTCCAGCACGACCTCACGTCCGGCGAGGACCCCACGAAGTGGAAGACCCTGGCCGACATCCTTCCCAAGCGCGAGTTTGAGGACATCA